CTTCACGTCTTCGTGCCGCATCTCAAATCCTAATAGTTACAACGCTGGTTGTTTCAGCCTAATGTACTTGGCTAAACCAAGCAAGATAAAGGAAGCAGCTGTTAAGACATTTCACTCAAGGAAAGAAGTTTGTTGGAATTAGAAGATGTTGCACTTGCAGCAGGTGCAATATGAGCTGGAACCCTCAAGACACACCATGCAAGGCTGACGAGATGGTGCGCTAGAAACTGACAGTATTGTTGAGCAGCGCATGTTGTATTAGTTAATTAGCAGGCCCTATTTACTTGCGCCCCATCGACGCCGGTGCTAACACCGTTAAACACGTCGACGTGGCGGTCACACATCCTAAACCCTGACGCCGCTGCTAACATCTGCTGGTCGAAGCGGTTGTCTCTCTGAAAGGCAGAGCTGACAAGCGGCCAGGTAAAAAACTCCACACAGTTCTGACCTGGCAAATTCCGAGGAGGATACCCCACCCAGACAGCAGCTGTGGGGGAATAAGCCTAGTCTGTGCTAGAGCCTGCTCTCCCTTAAGGGCCTGTCGCCGGGTGATCAGACGCATGATCAGGTGCAGGATCGCAAGATCCTGAAGAGATTGCAAGCGCCTAGCGAAGACGGTATTTCATCCCGCTACGCTTGAAGCTCCAAAGCCAATACGTAGACCTTTTGAAGCACCTTTTGCTGTTGTGTTGGACGGGCATAGGTGCCTTGCGACACGTCCCGGCTGCTTGGAGAACGCGGTGCTGCCCTTATATCGGGGAGGCTTCAAGATGCAATACGTCAGTTCTCATTGCCCAGTGTCTGGTCCATGCCTTTAAGGAGCCGCCAGCTAACTTCGCCACGATGCAGGACATGCTTGACAGCAATAGCCAATTCCAAGTCGCTACGTTAACTCACCCGGCAAAGGCTTTTGAAAGGGTGAACCCGAGGTGGGCTAGACATCTTATCCAGCCGAGCAGCGCCCTGGCGGCTTTATGCGTACACTGTACACTTGCTGTACAGCCAGAAACCATAGGGCCCAGTCCCATTTGCTACCAGCAATTACTCTTCGACAAGGCTTCGCGATGGGAAGAGCCACATCAGTGCTTCTCTTTTGCATAACCATGGACCCATTGATTTAGGCACGTAGTCGGGTGCCCAGAGAACTGGCACTCAGGGCGTACATAGCGCGGATTGCCCCAGTCAATTGCTGTTTGGGCACTTGCGTGATGCTGGTACACAGGTTTTGCAACACACATGTGTACAAGTAGCGTACAATCTCGACCACCCTGACGGTGGTACCGAATCCAGGAGTTATTTGATGGGAAACTGTGCTGAGTGCCTGTCTGGCCGCGTACTTAGGCCGAACCGCTGAGAGATGATGAGCTTCACAAGATGGGACATGGGCATGACCAAAGCGACCAAACGGTGGATCCATTCATTCGCCCTTCCTTGGTCAAGAACCTTGCGCTGATTAGCAATGGAGTTGTGACGAAAGATGAACGGAAAGACATATTATACGCGTCCGAAACTTCGAAAATACTGGTTGAAGACTTTGGAGAAAAATAAAAAGACGAGCATCATGAGAAGGCCAACGAAAGAGAAAGATGAGGAGATCGGAAAATTTTGAGGGTTAACAAAACTGCAAATGGAAAAAGCACTGCGCATGGCTCTGTGTGTCTCTCTGTAGCGTGTACCTTCTTGCCACATCTTACGCAAGGACTGTTCCTTGTTAGGACGTAGGATTTTGCCTCGGATCTTTCGCATGTGCAGTTTAACTTTCGCATCATCAACTTCGTGACCACAAATTTGATTCTGCCCGACGGGCCTGCGGGCATAGGTGCGTTGCGCAAGGCCGTCCTGAGTCGCCTTCATGGAGGACGATGTTCCCACGGATCATGGTGGGCGTCCTGCGCTGCAGCAGGAGGACCTCTCACAGTCGGACCTGAAGCTGGCGCTTGGGCAGCGGAGGATACCTCACACCGATCACGCTCGACCGTTCCACGCGCTTACGCAGATTTGTCCGGTTCTTAGGGGCCCTTCGGCCTGCTTGTAGAGCATGCGCTTTCCTGTTGAATTCTAGATGAACATCGCAAGCACGCGGGCGCGGGCACTTTCTCCATGCGCTGTCGGAGGCCTTGTGCACTGTGGAGAAACTCCACAAGCATAACTTGCACACACGCTGCGCCTGCTTTGTCTCCATGACTTTTGGCAAGGCTAGCCAAGTGCATCACTTGGCTCTGCGCAGGCTCGACAGCCTAAGGATGAACAGAGAGTCGCGCGATCTTGAAGCTTCCAATTGCGATGTTGGACTGCTGCCCTTAGATCCGCCACCGGATTTGCAATGTTGTAACGCGAATAACAATCCGATGAGCAAGCTAACAAATTTTTCTGGCACGCCATTGTCGAAGACGAATAGCATCCGACACCGTGAGGCTCACCCCAGCCAAGCCAAATCACAGGGCGCCCACACCGTAAGCTTAGACCGTGTGGAGGCGCCCCTCTTTTGGCTGACGAATTCTTGTACATTGGACTGGTTCTGCTTAGCCGCCTTTTTCCAGACGACGCTGCCGAGCGGAGGTCTGCGTGGTGTCATAGGAAATCTTAATGCCCAAGTATTTGAACTCAGAGACCTTCTCAACTCTCAAGAAGTCTGCCTTTGGAAGAATAGGGCAAGCTGCACTGTTGAGCTTCAGGGATCAGAAATACACCAGACTTTGACCTTCTTGCTGTCTCGAGACTTGACCCTCTGGAAAGAAAGCTTCGCGGTCTCGTCCCCTGTAGCTTGATCACACTGCACTTAGAGAAGGTAAACAAGGCTTTGAACTGCCTTGAGCAAGCGCTTGAGATCCAAATGCGCCTGCAGTAGGTCGCCCAAGAGGCTATGTCCTTGTGGACAACAATATCGTCAGCGAAACCCATAAAGCGCCATAAAGTTATCCACTTGCGGAAGCGCGGTTTCCAGATCTTCTAACATCTTGGCTAATAGCAAGGAGAACAGACTTGGGGGAAGTTCGCAGCCTTGTTTGATTCCCCTTGCTGATGGACCTGGAGGCTAGTCCATGTGAAACTGTCTACAAGAAATTGCGATGGGCGATGGAGCTCTGAGATACGCGTTTAGTCCTGCTCCGTTGCATTTATTTGATGCAATGAGTCTAGCAACTCTTAGCTGAAGCAAAAGCCTCCCTTTAGTCGGGTTTTACGACCATGGGGAAGTGCTGACGCGCTGGCGGGCTCCTCTGTTTTCGCCACTGCCGCAACCCCCTTCCCATCGGAGGCTTACCTGGTTCCGGAATGAAACAGAGACTGACGTCATTGACCGAGTTGGGCATAAGATGTTGCTCCCCTAATGGTAGTTTAATCTAAAGCGAATCCTGGGAGCTCGGTCTTGGCGCCAGGCATTCTGCCTTTCGCCTACCAACCTGTTCTGAGCACTGTCTAAACAACACGGAGGCAAGGCCTGAGCCGCCTGAGCCTTGCAGCACCGCTTTCTGTGCCTCGACAACTGCGCAGGGATCAGCCTGGCACATAGGCTACTAGGCTCTTCTCTGAAGCCTGCAGTCCCGAGCCTGGCGTTCATGACGACGGGGGGTTTTGACTAAGCTCCAGAGTGTCCAGTCAAAAACATCTCATGAGGCCAGGGGTTTGCTCGTCGAGGGCTTCGCTGCAATTAGGCCTTCCTTGCACTGCATAGTAGGGCGAGGTTTGCATTAGCTTGTATCTCTCGAGCCGCTTTGAGCCAGCTGGGCTTTATATGGATAGGCTAGCGTTGAAGGGGTTGCATAGTGCCATGCTGTTTGCCGCCTATGCTGGCCTCCAGTGGCAAGTGCCTGCCGACCTCCTTCCATCCTGCTTGAAGCGAAGCTTTGTCTGAGATAGGGCGAGCATTTTGAAGCTAGGCTTGTTCAGCTCGCAGCGTTGCCTAAGAAGCTTCTCAAGCTTTCCCACTTCTTTCTGCTGCAAAGCGTTCCGAGGTTGTACGGTGGCCGAACCTCCTTCTTTGCCACTTGTAAGCAGCTCTGCGTTGAAATTCTTGGCTGAGAAATGGCACACTTGAAGGCTTCTTCAGCACGCCTAAGCATGATGAAGTGTCTTCTGCCGCTAAGATAAAATGTCTCCAAACATGTTGACGCAGATTGACAACCGCTATAAGGGACAACACCTAAGCTAGCAGTGCACTTCTTGCAGTCTGCCGTCTTATGACAGTGAGTCGAAACCCCGTGCCCGATGGCCCGCGCGGACA